TTGCCTAATTAAACCATTGGCCTCTACAAAGTTTTCCCTTGCATAATTTGATGTTTCTGTTCTTGTAGAAACATACTTTCGGTCTCGAGAAAAGTGGCACTTTAAATACATACGCTGTAATGAAAAGTGGCACTTTAAATACATACGCTGTAATGAAAACAGGATTCAAAATTGTAGACAGCACTGGAAGGGTTGGTCCCATCCCTAGGCAGAAAGCGCAAAAACGCTTGGTATGCTTTGCATTATTTACTTGATTATCTCCAATGTAAATGTCTTTGTCAGTAGCAACTAATCAGTTTAATTCTTAGAAAATATCTTACAAATGTAGTAGTTCGATCATATAATGCTTATTTGATTATGTGCATATGGGCATTGTTAGAGTATATACTTATTCCTACAACATAAAATTCAAAATCTGCTTATTTTTCATATGTCATGATTTTTTGCTTATTTTAGGATGACTACAGATAACTAGTTTCAGATGAGAATTCACAAGAATTGGATGGAAAGGCGCTGCACATTGTAGGAAACGGGATGAAGCATGGGCGTGTTCCAATAGGCGATGGTGCTGTGGACAAGGCAATTGCTCTAATACATAGTAAATCAGTAGATTTTAAGCCAATCAATCCTACTGATTATGATAGGGTGCTCAAAGAAAATGAACAGCTGAAAGAGACTAATGGGATACTCTTTGAAGAAAATAGTGTTAATCGTGTGTTGATCATGGTAATATTTTTTCATTGCTTCTAGCAAATAACATGTTCTGATTTGGGTAATGCTCATATGCATGCATCTGAATGTAATACTCATGTGCCTTTTTAATTACAGACAATGTACTCTGATTTTGGAAGAGAACCACCTGCAGAGTTGCTGCAGCGTCTAGAAAGTATTGATGCACGTCGTCAACATGTTACAAATTTTACTGAATGCTTGTACAATTAATGTTTTGTGTCTGGAGGACATTTCATTTAGAGAATTAATATTGTTTGCTGCCAGAATGTCAATTTGAGTTGCAGCAGTGAAAAGGTGGTTTCTTGCTGATTAGTAATGGTAACCTTAGATTTAAGTTCATGGTAAGGTAGCCAAGATTAGTTTGACTTGTCTGATTCCCCTCAGTTTTGCTTGGCAAATACCCTTTAGTTCATTTGGTCAGCTCCTTAAGCATCAAGTACTGTATTCAAAGATCAAGTAAAACTATGCTCTGCTAGGTCCATCTTCATATTTCTTAATAGCTCATAGTACTGCTAGGTTGAGTTGACAAAAACTAATCCTTCTATTCTTCATATTATGGACTATGTAATCCTTCTGTTGCTGCCCCTTTGCTTTCTTGGCTGGGTAGTAACTATGTAGGTGCACTTGGTTTGCACATCATCATGGAGATTTTACTGATTTTGCAGACTGTTGCTTCTCCACATGGTTGCTCCCACTCAGTTAATGACAGGCGCAACGGTGAGAACATTGATGAAAGAGACGATGATGGAAACAACTTCCATGAAGACGATGAAGATGGTGATGGTGAAGATGGTGATGATTCTGACTCAGAAGGAAATGGTGATGGCGATCCTGACCAAGAAAGGGAGGCTGATGAGGAAGCCTTCGAAGGCGATCGTTGATGACAAAGCGGCGGCGGTGGCGGCATGGGAGAGAGCAAGCACAGCATAGGAGAGCGGCGTCGCAGGCACTGGGTGCGATCCTGCTGCCGGCAGCGGCGACCTGAGCAAGCGGAGTCGAGAGCGGCGGCGGCGGCACTGCAATCTTTTTTTTTACGAGAAGATGCAAGCGGTTGGTTCCTTGGAAGGGAAGTCCGGCAGTGGGTTGGTGCAGGTCGTATGGGCCTAGGCCCAAAGGGGTGCCTTCCTCATTTCTTCATTAGAAATTATTTTAAATATGATTTACCTTTGCTCAAAAAATGATTTACCTAAATTATAACCGATATTATAATTAATTGATGCAAGATTTTGTACAGTCAAATAATAAGTAGGGGCACTTTGGACATTTTTACTTTTCATCAATTCCAGAAGAATAGGAGGAGCCGTTTTGCCAAACGTTTTTTCAAAAAGCTTTGGCTCCTACAGAGAAGCCACTTCTACAGAGGAGCCAGAGCCGGAGCCATTTTCAGAGGAGCCAGAGCCCTGCCAAACAGGCCCTAAAAGTTTTAACAGCGTCCTATTTACCTTGGCAGCCAAACAGCCAAGGAAACAATTCTTGGCAGTCAGCTGTCAAGGATATCGTTTTTCCTTGGCTCTCTAGGCTTGGCGGGCTTTGCTTGGCGGTCGGCCGCCAAGAACAATTACCTTGGCGGTAAACCTATATTCCTCTGCGGTTTTAGGCCGCCAAGGCAATTCCTGATTCTGGTAGTGAAACAATGTAGAAGGCTAAGTGACATGGACTACTCTCGCTACCAGATTAGTGTACACAGTGTCGTAGCGGTGTACGGGAAGGGGTGAGGAAACCCCCTCCCTCGTGTGGAAAAGCTCCATAGTGTACAGAAGACGTCAAGGTGATCAAAAGAGTTGGGTGACTGGTGATGAGACTTCATGACTCACATACTAGCCTTTGGTCTTGTGTGGCAAATTCAACACCGTGACCAGGAAAGACTAAGAAACTTCAGGGAGAAACTTTAGAATATACTCTTATACAGTCATACTCACATCTCTATGCTTGTAGAGTTCTACAGCAGAATGTGTAGATAGTTAAGACTTAGAAGGGATGGATTCACTAGTTCAGAGATGCACTTGCAGAAAATTCCTGAGATGCAGCGATACAGGTCCTAGGTAGAATGTCCAATTGAAATGCTAATTTTCTTCTCTAAGTCTTCTATGATTTCGATGTAAATGTTTGTTGTAAAGTTATACATCATTCGATTTAGGTGTATATATTTATTTGGAGGGCCAGAATGTAATCAATTAGTGACGATCACAATATTATCAACTTCCCTTGTTACCGAATACTATGAAATGATTGGACTTAGTGATATCATAGGTGTATATAGTTCTTTTAGGGCAATCCTAACCTAGAAACTATGAGGTAGTTTCTATAATTACTAAATCATGTAGATACTACACATAGAAATTATATTTTCAATGGATAGTTTTTTCATAATATTTTTCTGTCCAATCACATATATATCTTTCCTCTCCATATCACATATGTTTCTATCATATTTGTTCATGTCTTGGTTCTGTGTAGACATGGTTTTTTTACATAAGAAATCATTTCCTGCTCTCTTTTCTATAATTTCAATGCCACATCATCAATTTATTTAGTTGGCACCCTAATTTATGAACATAGAAACTATCCTAATTTCTTGGTTGAGAGTGCCCTTATGGATAGAGACAGTGTAATCAAATAAATGTTGTCACATTTTATCTTCACATATAAGAAGATGCTTATATGAGCAAAAATGTCGATCCCAAAATGTTGAAATAAATTAATACAAACAATGGATTTACCACAATTTGTCAACCAAACAAGTCATTATTGGTATTAGAGGGGTACATGTCATTACACACCAAGACAAACAATTTCTTGCCAAACACTTGGCCTCTCTTCAGCCAAGGGGATATATATTCTCCAAATAGGCAGGTTCTCATATAAAAAGTTGTCCCTAACAGAACCTTAAAAAATATTCGAATTGGCCTCTCTCAAAAAAATCACAAATGGAAATTTGTGTTTCTTTCTAAAGGACATTCTAATTAATGCTATAATCTGAAGGCCAAACTTCATCTTAATTGCTTTTCACTCCGAACGATGTCGGAGTTGCATGCAAATGAAGTCCGTTCAAGGACAATGCAAGTTGGTAGACTTTTGACTGTTAACACCTGGATTTTTATAGTACTCCATAAATAAATCAGTCCAGATTACTACCGGAAGGACAAGACTCGAAGTTAATTTACTTTGGGACGAAACGAGTACAACATTATTTGACATGTTTGTCCCATCACAATAGGTAGTCGGAAAAAATAGCAACGACGATCTTGAAGTATACGGTCTTGTTCAATCGGATCGGATATATAGCACGAGTATGTAGCCGTGCAAATCTTAACAGCTCGGATGGGTGGAATGGAGGAGACAAACAGACAAACTTACGGCAAATCTCTAAAGAAACTCGCTGCACTCGATTTCCAAATGGCGTTTGGGAATAAAGTCCATCAGCTACATAAAGAAATTAATCAAAAGGATGAATTTACCAGAGGTATTTACAGACATTCACGTAATGAAAGAGATAGATTAAACAAATGATAATATAAGAAAGAAATACTACCTCATTTTTAACTATTACAATACAAACTTTATATGATTAGATTTATAAGGAATTATAATATCCAATGATTATAAGTCTATAAGCATAAATAATATATTATAAAATAAAATTATTGGTCAAAGTATAATCTAGAAGACCGTGTAATTCTAACTTGTGCCAGTTAAAATATAACGGAGGGAGTATATTCTAGGAGAAAAGGAAAGTTCAATCGGCCATGTAAGAAAACAATATACTCCGTTATAAAAAAAAAATCACAGTTAGAAACCGTGGGCTGGGAATATGAAGCAAGCATAAAGATTGCGCTGGGAATATTCTAGGAGGAAGATGGCAGATGGGAACAGGAACATGGGGAGTACGCCGTGGGAACAGGAACAGCGAGTCCCCGTCCCCTTGGGAAACCAAATTTCCACTGTAGTAACTAATCTCACCGCATCTCTGACCGGAACGGCGGAACTCCCCGCTCTCTCTCTCTCTCTCTCTCCCCAAACCCAAATCCATCCATGCATCGCTAATCTCAACAACCCGTGCAATGATTCCTCGGAAGTCGGAACGAGGAAGGTCGTACAGGAGTCGCGTTCGCGTCCGGCGGTCCGGGCCCTTAAAACACGCACCCATTCGCTCTTATCCTACGCTGCCAGTCACGCGCCATCCTTGAGGCCGCGGTTTAGCCCTATCTAGTACGTCGACCAACCAGGCAAGCCTACGTGCAGTGAGAGAGGCAGCGAGCGGAGGGTAGATGGCGGACAACAAGCCGGGCTACTCACTGGTGCCCGGCGATGGCGGTCGAGCGTCGGGGTTGATCAGGCGGAGGACCGCCGAGGAGGAGCACGGCAGCGGCAACGGCTTCCTCGATTTGTCGCTTGGCTCCATCTACAACAACCCGTCGTCCGCGGCCGACGGTGGCTTCTCGCCGGTGGCGCGCGCGTTGCTGCCCACGGCTGCGGCGGCGCCGCTGGACGCGTCGTCGGCCGTGCCGTCTGTCCTCGCCGCCGCCTCGGCGGCCTACGCGCCGCCTGTGCCTGCTAATCGCGCTTCGGCATTCGCGCTGGGCCTTGCTGCCTCGGCGGTGCCCGGCGACGGCAATGGTGGCGGGCATGTCCTTGTCCGTGCTTCCAAGGCCCTGGCGGTGGCGAATCCGGTGTCTTTGTTGCCGCCGCTGTTTGCTAGTGATGGCAGTTGCGCCGTCCCAGTCCCCGTCCCAGTCCACGGCAACGCCATGGACGCCAGTGACAGTGGCGCGACGCCGGTGCCTCGATCCAAAGGAGCTGTGGCGTTGTTGGGTGCATCTCCTCCCTCGTCCGTGCCACTGCCTCCCAACAGAAAGTCCCCGCGTGGGCGACGCGGCAATGCCACCGGTTGCCGCCGCCGCAGCGGTGCAGCCGGTGATGATGCAGATGCTGCTGACGCCGCACCGACCACCGGTGGCGAGAACGCGCCGCCGCCGTTCCCGTGGGCGACCAACACCGCGGGCGCGCACCCAACGCTCGACGAGCTGATCGAGCGAGGGATCAGCTTCGTCGAGGGCGAGGTCCGCTGCAAGCGCTGCGACGCTGGAAAGACGATCTCGTATGAGATCAGGGCCAAGTTCGAGGAGATGTCTCGCTTCATCGTCCGCAACGTGGAAGCCATGCACGACCGCGCGCCGGCGGAGTGGATGTACCCGGCGCTGCCGGACTGCGACAAGTGCGGGCAGAAGAACAGCCTCCGCCCCGTGATCGCGGCCGACAAATGGAGGATTAATTGGATGTTCCTGCTGCTCGGCCAGACGCTGGGGCTCTGTACTCTGGAGCAGCTAAAGCACTTCTGTGCCCGCACCAGGCAGCACCGCACCGGTGCGAAGGACAGAGTCCTCTACTCCACCTACATGGAGCTCTGCAACCAGCTGTGCCCTGGTGGGCCGTTCGACATGGCGTCCGAGAGGAAGAACAGGACTCGTCCATTTGCTTAAGTTAGTTCCCATATTTGCTTTAGCTACCATATTTAAGTTCCCATATATAGATATGCCATCTTATTGTAAATATATCTATCCAGCTCCTCATATATATTTTATGATCTTTTGTTTTCTTATTTTTTGTTTCCTTCTTTCATCAAAAGCACAATGTTAACATCCGGTTTTAAATATGGTAGTATTTGACATGGTTTGCATTTGGACACGAAGTTTGAACATTCGTTACTTAAAGAAACCTTGTGCAAACATTAAATAGTATATTATTCATTATTAAAATACCTTTTTTTGTTATTAATAGAACAAGTCACAACTAAATGATTGTACAGTGGTAGCCTAAAACGCTGGGTAAAAGAGAGGCTATATTGTGTACCACAATGTTTATTTAGCGCACATGCGCCACTTCATATTCCAAATGCACGGTTTCTGTTTGAAGTTTATTTTCTAACAAATTTGTTTCTGATTGAAGTTTCCTTTTCTCCCATGAACATCTTTCTTTAGTTGCATGTCTGCATTTTAATCTCTATTCCCTTGCATGAATACTAATATATATATATATATATATATATATATATAATCACTTTATCCTCTTGATTAGTTTTTTTTTACAAGAGAACAGACTTTAGAACGATATCCCAATTTGGTATTAGTCTCGGCATTTTTTGCCCCCGGTTGGAACCACCAACCGGGACTAAAAGTCCTCCAATCTTTAGTCCCGGTTGGTAATACCAACCGGGACTAAAGGTAGACCCTTTAATCCCGGTTAGTAACACCAACCCGGACTAAAGGTCCCCCGATGGGTTAGTTCAAAAGGAAAGCATCACATCCATTGTTAGATGTGTTGTGTAGGTGGGGTGATAAGCTCGCGCGAGGCAGTGCATGAGGTCTTGGGTTCGAATCTCATAGGGCGCAGTGGTGGGAGGCATTTTTTTTTAAAGCTGGGAGGATCTTTAGTCCCGGTTGTGGCAAACCGGGACTAAAGAACACCACCTTTAGTCTCGGAACGCTAGTCCCGGTTGGGAAACCGGGACTAAAACCAGTTCCCAACCGGGACTAGATGTCAGTTCTGTAGTAGTGATGGTTGATGTACTTTTTTCTCGAATACGCAAAAGATTTGTGTATCATTGTATTAAGGAGAAGAGTTTAAACAAACAAACAACGCGCTTCTATCGAGCGCCGAAGGAGATTGACCTAACACAGCCGAAGCTGGACCATCCTAGCAAAAGACCAAAAGACCTCTTGTATGGCTGATATACTTCATTCGCTGCTAGTCTTAGAAGCGAGTGAGCGCACGATTAAGAGTCCCCTCTCCTCCACTTTTTTCCTTGGAAGCATTGTGCAGGTGCTTTCCTTTTCACATTGTACTTTCTTCCTTAGAAGCATTGTGCAGGTGCTTTCATGTTCACATTGTAGGATTCTTTGGGGAAAACTTTGCCTAAGTTTTTTAGCGGGTGATAGCGGCACTCAGGTCATTCGCTCCTTGGAGACATCGCCTTGGTGATCTTGCACCGTCAAGGGTTCTCGGCCCGTGTGGTCCCTTTCGGTGCCCAGCGTGCTAGGGTTTTTCGACGAGGCCGAACCTCCTTGGTGTCGTTGCTTGCTTTATGGCGTAATTGCCGACAATCATGGTTATGGGCTTGCGCAACGGAATCAAAACTATTTACTGTGGGGTGAAGTTAAGCTCAGCAACGATGACGGCATATATGGTGGTGGTTCTAGGCGCATCGGGGCTAGCTATGTTTTGGGGGCGCTCCGGTTGATCCTCACCATGAGAGTCGGAGCTCCTGATTGCTCTTGCGTCAAGCTTGGCAACGATGATGCATGGCGGGTTATGTCGATTGTGTGTTGCTTATGTGTGCAGTTGGTTGTTTTGGAGTCAATTGGTCGGGATGCTATGTACAAGTTTTTCGTTGATTTTCCTTAATAAATCATGGTTTGTAAAGTTTTCAAGCATATATACATCAAAAAGATAAAACACAGGCCGCAATGTCGTTTTCAATCACCACAAACACGATTGGGGCCTGGGCCTCTACTAGGCCCATGGGCAATCGGTCCGCTACTCCGCCTGGGTTATCTTTCGGTCAACAGCTCGGACCCCTGGAACCGCGTGCTATAACAACCAAACGGCGGCGATGCGGCTTTTCTCCGGCGTCCTCGATTCTTCTTCCGCGCTTGCCTGCGCCGTCCTGGGCTCCGTGTCCGACCGCCTCGGATTCTCGCGCGTATTTTTCGGTCGAGCGAGCCCCTCGAGCATGCCGGCCCTCGCTTGTGAAGCCGCTGCCTCGTCTTCTGCGGCAGCCGCTGCCGACGCCTGCGCCGGCGCCCAGAAACCATGGCTCTTCGTTGGTCTGGGGAACCCCGGGCGGATGTACAAAGGCACTCGGCACAACGTAAGTTCGCGAGCTCTCTCCAATTGCCCGTCCATCACGCCTCGGGTAGGATAAATCTAAATCTAGCTAAGACGACGATAGCTGCGAGGGCGACTGCCTCGTCGGTGGCGACCACGGTGGCCCCGGTTACTAATTGGGGGCAAAAGGAAATTCGATCTAGACTAGTAGTTGTTTACTTCGATATGTGGATGGGCTGTCTGTCGATCATAGTGGATTCAGCTGATGCAGGAGTGGGGAATAAGGATGCGTTTGGTTGAGAGATATTCTAGGGTGGGCATGCTTGGTTGATGACAACAACTGTTGCTGATTGTGGTGCTAAAATTTTATTTGCATCAACTCATCAAGTAATTCTACATGCACATGTTTCCATCACAATTACCTCGGCATTAAGAATTGAAAATTCTTCATGGGGTCTATCACTTTTTCCATGTAGTGTGGTTTTGTGCAATCCCTTTTAATTCTCTAACACAGATAATTTGTATTTTTTTTTCTTTCTGGCTGCTGGCAATGGAAATTATTCCCTTTTAGGCTCCGTTCGGTTAGAGCAAATCCAGCCTTGGAAACATTCTGGCCGTCGAAGGCGTATATAAATTTTAGTAACGAATCCGGCCGGGAATGGTTCCTGGGGGTCGTTCCCCAGGAAGCGAACGGGGCCTTAGGCTTTTTTCTTGCTGCGGATAGCATGTGTCCTGCATTGAATCCCCTTTTCTTTTCTGATTATTGGAGGAGTTTGTTATTTTAGGAGTTAGCATATAGAGATCATAACCTTGTTGTAATGAAAATAGTTAAGCATGAACCAAATTCGTGAAATGTAAATCTTAGTCCAAAGTTACAATTTTGCATTCGCAGAACTATGATTTCAACTAGAAGAACCAAGATAGCATGTTTATGATTAAGTTGGGAGGGGCTACCACTTATGAAGGTTGAATCTTATCCACCAGGCTATAACTTCAAATAAAGTTGTTCTTATATTTTTGTTGTTCCATACTATTTCATAGAAAGTTTTGGCATTTAGGCATCTTGAGCTTCGCTTAATTTGCAAATTGGTTGTCTTGAGCACATTGGAGCTTCCATTTAATTCTTTATAATCTGTGCGTATGTCTTCTAGTGATTTTAAGTATGCATTGGTTTACGGTTCAAACATAGACATAATGTAGCATTGTTTTGCGGAAAAACTGGATCTTTGATTATGTTATATAGGATGTAAACTATTGCTTTAGTAGAGCATGCTGTGAATTCAGTAGTAAATAATTGTAAGATCCAGACTCATGTTTTAATCATTTTATGTTGCGACACAGGTTGGCTTTGAGATGATTGATGCTATTGCGGAAGCTGAGGGCATTTCAGTCAGCAGTAAACAATTTAAGGCGATTGTCGGAAAAGGTAATTAATTTTACTGATACATGGGTCTGTATCAGTGAGTGATAAAACTTCCACCTAGCTAAGCATTTTATGTTGCCCTCATGGTGATCAATTTAGTGTTGCAGTTTCTTTTGCGTGTTGAGAAATTTGCTGGTACTACAAGTACTTGGCACCCCTTGTCGTGTATATTTCAACTCTTACTCTCTAGCATAGTTGAATTCCCTTGTCCCCCTGTTTCTGGCTCTGTCCTTGACTGGCCAAAATGCTGTAATATCTGATATTTTGTTTTTCTCCTTCCTTTTCTTCTTGCTAGCTAGTTTAATCAGTTAATTATTTGTCATTTCTCTTGTCTGACTTGTGCTGAATCAAGTAAGACATCATCTCTCTTGAATTTTACCGTTGGTCTTTCTAAGCTTTTTCTTACTTCATGTGAACTTTTCTGCTAAACAGTACAATTAAGTGCTGTTTTTTAAGCTTTTGAGCATTATCTAAGGTAGTGAGTGCTTCCAGCGATCAAACAGATGAATATGAGCCCATTTAGCCCTTGTTTAGTTCTCCAAAAGTGCACTATGCAAAAAGAAGATTCCCCGTCACATCAAACTTGCGGTACATGCATTGAGTACTAAATGTAGACGAAATCAAAAACTAATTGCACAGTTTGCTTTAACTTTGCGAGACGAATCTTTTGAGCCTAATTAGTCAATGTTTGGACAATAATTCACAAATACAAACGAAATGCTACAGTGGAGAATCGTGCACTATGCAAAGTTTGCAGGTGCAAACTTTGCCGAACTAAACGCGCCCTTATCTGAATTTTCACTGTTCTTGATCATACACTTCCTGTTTGCACCTTCTGAGTTAATGCTTTGTAAGAAGTATCTACTAGCAAGTTCGTTTGGAATTTTCAATCATCCGCAAACAAAGAAAACCTATTAATTCGCAATTTATATTTAGATATATATCTAATGTAATTAAAATAGACATGTATGTTTTTGAAAATATAATGCTTCACTCTAATTTAGGCCTCATTGGTGATGTCCCTGTAATGCTTGCCAAGCCACAGACTTTTATGAATGCAAGTGGTGAGTCTGTAAGTGAAATTACTCTACTGCAGCTTGAAACCAGTTGTTCTTGCTAGTCCTTTTCTCCTTACTGCTATTTATGTAGGTGGGACAGCTGGTTTCATACTTCAAGATACCACTCATTCAATTAGTTGTGGTAAATGTTGTCCTTGAGCTGGTACTTTGTCATGTTATGAGAATCTTTTGTCACGTAAATTGTCTCCTGTTCTTTATAGATCTATGATGATCTTGATCTACCCTTTGCGAAATTGCGTCTGCTACCAAAGGGGGGACATGGTGGGCACAATGGGTATTCATTTCTTTTCTAGAACCCTTCTTCCCCTTGTACTCCATGGCTAAATTGAAAGGGACTTGAGTGAATGGTTCAATAAAAATAATATATAACACTTGCTTTATAAATTGAATTTTACTCACAACCCTTCCTCCACTATGAGGCGACTGTTACATTTCTTTTTCTTCAAATGGAACTTGGAACATAAATCCTTGTGGACCCTCTGTTTTCTTCAATAGTTTACAAACATGCTAATGTAGGTCTATCAAAACTATCATGCTTTGTTTCACTTAACCATTTGTACAAATTGCAGGATGAGGAGTATTATTGACCATTTGAAACAAAGCCGCAATTTCACACGTCTAAGGATTGGTACGACAATTATTTATTTTTTTATTCATCAGGGGTTAAGTCTGAGATATGATTCCCCCCAAAAAAAAAATGTTGTGCAGGCATTGGACGGCCACCTGAGCTGGGTGCTATCAGTTTTGTTCTACAGTCATTCACTGAGCAAGAAAAGGAAGAGGTTTGCGCTAGACTGCACTATACCATTTGGATGCATGCAAATTTGCTTTATCACTATTCCTATGATGTTTTTCTTAAGTAGACCACAGACCATGGTATCATAAAATCTTAACCTGAAATGCACTACACTGATCTATGCAAGCAGAATATTGTTAACTCTTCTCACCAATTTCTGCAGCTTGAAGTCACGTTCCAAAGGGGCCTGCAAGCAGTAAGAATTATGGTACAGGAAGGATTCAACAAGAGTGCACAGTTTGTGAACACTCCTCCACAACCACCGGAAATGTTGAATAGATGAAAACCAAACGACACATAGATTATTAGGTTCGCTTAGTTGTTGACACAAGGGCCATTGCCGCCAAGATATATGTACCCTAATTGAGCTGTAGAGGTTTTCATTTTATCACACAGCAAGTAATGTAAATTGGATTCACATATTGTTCTCAGATTATGGGGATTATTTGGATTTCTGTCTTTCTGTGTTTTTCTCCGCGATAACTCAATACATGTACTGCTCCAACGTTCATCGATCAACACGATCAAACCCCAAAATGTTCAACACTGTATTCAGAGAACTGTTCTGAAGCTATGATCTCATGTTTTAGTTCATGGTGATTATCCTGGTATATGTTTGTGCATCAAGATCAAGGTATGCATTGCCAGGTTTTTCCCTTGACAGTCTGCTAATTGCCACTGCCGACTGGACCGTTTGATCCAAAAATCTGTCTCCAACTCTGTCAGTTATGTTTAATACAAAAGGACTCTAGAATGTACTTATTTCAGGATGGAATACCTTATATTTTGATACAAATTTTAAAATTTTAAACCTTAGAGATCCTTTGTATTTCAGGATAGAGGGAGTAGGAAGAACACGAAGAGTCATAATCATAATCCACTTGCTACGTGGCCGATTACTAAGCTGACCTGTTCGGACTATACATGGAAATACTTCATTGAGCTCGTTCGCTAGTCTTATGGAGACCAGCCAGCCGGCTGGTTCTCCTCACGCGACACTGTTTATCCATTCAGCTAAACAGTGTTTTTTTCTCACAACAAACCAGCCGAAACAGTGCTTTTAGCAAGATTCATATATATATATATATATATATATATATATATATATATATATATATATATATATATACACCATAGAAAGAAACAAAACTAGTTTAGTTTCCCTATAATTGTTGTTTTGTGTGCTTCTCCACCGTTCGCGGACACGTCCAGCTTTCCACCAACCCCACCACTCAAAAGAAAAAAAAAACACGATTCCACAGATCCACATTCCTTAAACCCTCCCATCCACGTCACTCATCACTCATCAGTCCCCTCCCCTAATCCCACTCCGCCGCCGCCAGCTTTTTCCCCACCATGGCGGCGACGACCCACGCCGCCTCCATGTCGTTCCTCCTATCCCACCCCCAGTCGCGCTCCGCCACCCCAAGCCGCCACCTCCAGCTCCACCCGGCAGCCCGCCGCGTCCGCTGCTGCGCCACCGACGCCGCCGCCCCCGCGGTCACCACCAAGCACCGGCGCGCGGCGGATGAGAACATCCGCGAGGAGGCGGCGCGGCACCCGGCCCCAAAGCAGGGCCTCTCCGCGTGGTACGAGCCCTTCCCGCCGGCCCCGAACGGCGATCCCAACGAGCGCTACTCCCTGGATGAGATCGTCTACCGCTCCAGCTCGGGCGGGCTCCTCGACGTGCGCCACGACATGGAGGCGCTGGCCCGCTTCTCGGGCGCCTACTGGCGCGACCTCTTCGACTCCCGCGTCGGTCGCACCACCTGGCCCTACGGCTCCGGCGTCTGGTCCAAGAAGGAGTTCGTGCTCCCCGAGATCGAGCCCGACCACATCGTCTCCCTCTTCGAGGGCAACTCCAACCTCTTCTGGGCCGAGCGCCTCGGCTGCGACCACCTCGGCGGGATGAACGACCTCTGGGTCAAGCACTGCGGCATCTCCCACACGGGCTCCTTCAAGGACCTCGGCATGACCGTACTCGTCAGCCAGGTCAACCGCCTCCGCCGCGCGCCGCTCTCGCGCCCCATCGCCGGCGTCGGGTGCGCGTCCACGGGGGACACCTCCGCCGCGCTCTCCGCCTACTGCGCCGCCGCGGGGATCCCGGCCATTGTCTTCCTCCCTGCCAATCGCATCTCGCTGGAGCAGCTCATCCAGCCCATCGCCAACGGCGCCACCGTGCTCTCGCTCGACACCGACTTCGACGGATGCATGCGGCTCATCAGGGAGGTGACTGCCGAGCTGCCTATCTACCTTGCCAATTCGCTCAATTCCCTCCGGCTTGAGGGGCAGAAGACAGCGGCCATTGAGATACTGCAGCAGTTCGATTGGGAGGTGCCGGATTGGGTGATTGTGCCGGGAGGCAATCTGGGGAACATATATGCCTTCTACAAGGGATTCGAGATGTGCCGTGTTCTTGGGCTTGTTGATCGTGTGCCGCGGCTTGTCTGCGCTCAGGCGGCCAACGCAAACCCGCTCTACAGCTATTACAAGTCAGGCTGGACCGAGTTCCAACCGCAGGTGGCCAGGCCGACATTTGCATCAGCGATTCAGATCGGTGACCCGGTGTCTGTCGACCGAGCTGTGGTCGCGCTCAAGGCAACGAATGGCATTGTTGAGGAGGCCACAGAGGAAGAGCTCATGAACGCAATGTCACTCGCTGACCGCACCGGGATGTTTGCTTGCCCGCATACTGGGGTTGCGCTCGCCGCCCTGTTCAAGCTCAGGGACCAGCGCATCATCGGGCCAAACGACCGCACAGTGGTTGTCAGCACAGCTCATGGCCTGAAGTTCTCGCAGTCAAAGATCAACTACCATGACAGCAAGATCGAGGACATGGCTTGCAAGTACTCCAACCCGCCTGTGAGCGTGAAGGCTGACTTTGGTGCCGTCATGGATGTGCTGAAGAAGAGGCTGAAGGGTAAGCTCTGAGCGCCTGTGTTTGGCTAACATTTCCAATTGGTTACTGTATGCCAATTGTGTTCTGCATCTGATTTCCAGTTGGTTACTGTATGCCAGTTGTGTTCTGCATCTGATTCGAATGCAGTGGATTCGGCAGTTGCTAGTTTTTAGGTGGTATCTTTTGGACTTCAAAATTTCTGTTTCGGGTAGGCTATCTGTTTGAGTTTAGCAGGGAGTGGCTATCTCTTGCAAGACTGGGAGTGGTTACCTCTTGTACTATGATGTGTTCCATGGAGAATAAGTGATCGTGTTGCTGTTGGAATGAATAATCATCACTCGCTCGTCTGTCCTTTGTGCATGAACTTGTCGAGTACTTTGGCTGTTAACTGTGTGGATTGTTGTTTGATCATTTTGGTGTTGCAATGCTGGCTGAAAGCTACTGGTGGTGATAATGGATGTCAACCTTGCTGGTTTTGCCTCGGTCTGGTTGTGGTTACCTCTTGTACACACGAATATCACAGCCTAGATGCCGTTTGTAAATAAGCGACAGGCCGACAATAGCACCACCACCAATAAGGTCCAATCAAGTATGAGCGTGGTCCAAAGTGGATAATCTGGAGTTCTCTTTTAGGCAAAGTAGATAATCTAGTATCCTCTTTTAGGCAAAATCGTAGATAATCTGGGTTTGGTAATTTTGTTTTTGTTTTCGCGGCAGATCGGTGCATGTTTTCAGTTTATAGCAACCTAACGAGGCTAGTCATAGCGGATAGTAACATACTCAATGATAAATTCCGTGGATTTTTTTTTTTTTTTTTTTTTTTTTTTTTGCTTACGTGACATGGAATTAATGAGGATATATATGTAAAAGTTGTATCATCTTGAAGATACAGCTTGTTCATAACAGACAAGGTTAGAAAAATCTTGCACAAACCTTAGGCTTATTGTCATAGAAATTATATACTATATAATTAATTGTTTAGAGCCTTCTAATTAACAACACCGTGATACTATACGTTGGGTGGGTTGTATCGTAATTGTCATGGCAACATTAGAAGAGCGACATGATACAATGCACTGGAAAACAGTGTTTAAAAGCTAGAATTGCAATCAGATTGCCTCAACTTTTGTACAGCGACTTTCGGGTTTCTGCACACCACTTCTTGACCTGGACGCGCGCGAGATAAATTCCGTGGAGGTGAGGAGACGGCGGAGGTCAGAAAGTTGAGCGCCGAGCTCGACGGCAGCAATGTCGCTCATGGCGCTGATCAGGATTAAGGAGGGCAGGCCGCAGACGGGCATGTCCGACGGCATGACGAAAGAATAACACCGTAATAAACACATTGGGCTGGGAGGATTCAGGCCCAAAACACGCGGCCTGCGTAGCCTCAGAGCTGCTGATGGATCGGTTGTCCCCGCGCGCATAGAGAGGCCCATCTGAATCTGCAAGTAGCCCGTAGCCCGTCGCAGCCGGAATCACTCCGTGGTGTCTGTCCGTCTGTGGTGTGCCTAGCAGAAATACCCATGGTGTGACAGCAGAGAACCCGATCTTGACAAGGAAGGATTTGGGCGCCGAAGCTTTAAAAAAAAAAAGCTTCATCTGCATTCGACACAGTTGACTCTGATAAGGTAAGTAGCTATCCTGCACCCTGGTCAATGCATCCATGGCTCCATGTCCTTGTAGCGTGGCAGAGGCATCCCAATTCCCAAAGCATGAATGATTGTCGTCATCTCCAACTGACACGGTTGACTCTGATGAGGTCAGTTAGTTAGTTATCCCGGCCTGCACCCTGGTTCATGCATCCAGCTTAACATTGTTCCGGCACCACCCACGTCTGCCTGCCTAAAATACGTGCGCGCCATTGCAGTGCCACGGCGTGCCTGCCCTATACCTCACCGACCGACCGACCGACCGACGCTAGCTATGCAGTGCAGATTGCTCAGCATGCCGCTGTTTCATGCCTGCCTGCCACCACGACCAAACTCGTAGACCCAAAGTCAAACCGGACCGAAGCATGTGGTGGTTCCAATTTTCAAAAGCGCATTTTATTCGGCAGCAGTTAACAACATCGACCGTCGCCGAGTTTGGGGTGTGTTCACATGTCACCGACTTTGCATTGCGTTTGGGATGTTTTTTTTTTCCCACCACGCCTAGCGCCCTGATGTCCGGCGTCAAGATGCGTCCGGACGCAGCTTAGAACAGCGCCCGCATGCTATTGGGACGCGACTCACAATCGGCAGTCTGCGTGCTATCGGCAGTTCGACACAGATCGCCATAAAACAGCGCCCGCACGTTCCCATCCGCAGCCTATCTCCTCCGTGCCTCCATCTGCCGCTACGCTGCCGTCTCAGGCGCACTTCCTCCTCAAGCCCATGTCGTGCCCCCTCCGCAGGGCCCTGCGCGCCGTGTAGTACCACGCCCCCTCCACAAGTCCCTGCCGCACATGCAACACCGCGTCCCATCCTCCACCGCGCTAGCTTCTTTGCGTCCCTGGACGGCTGCTCCTTCGTCGAGGTCTACACCAAGCCCGTGGCGCCCCTGTCCACCAGCCACTGGCGCCATTGCAGCACGTGTAAAACCCGATTTACTTCGTAACATTCAGATGAAACACTTGCAATATACGACTGAAACATTTGTAACATGCGTCTCAAACAACTAAAACATACGTTTGAAACATGCATGTATAGCCATAAAAATAAATGCAACATCCAGATCTAGTTTCGCAACATCCAGATGAAACACTTATATCATACGTCTCAAACACACGAAACACTTGAAACATATGCTTGCGACATGCGTATATAGCCATTGCAACATCAAGATCTACGTTTGCAATGTCTAGATGAAACTCTTGAAATATACGTCTGAAACAACTGAAACACTTGAAACATACGCTTATAACATGCACTTTCAGCGCAACATGTACTTGTTGCTTGGACGGATGGAGGCTTGTCGGCACACAGAGCTCGTTGACGACGTGGAGCTTGATGCCGTGGAGTGGCGCGGAGGTCGCCGGCACAGAGGCACAGAGCTCGCCGACAACACGAAAGCGGCTGGGCGGGTGCGACGGAGAACAGAAGCGTGATGGAGAGGGAGGAAGGCAGGCGGTGGGGCTCAAGTGCAGTGGAGGATGGTGGCCGGTGGGCGGCCAAGCGCGGTCGCTGTGGAGCACTCCATGGCGATGAAGTGTGGCAGAACCACCCAAATTATATGGCCCACATGTGCCCGTCATTGTCTCACAGACTTCTGACCGTTATACACTTAAGCCACATAATCCCGGTAGTCTGTCGAGTGTCATCGGGAAACCCGAATCATCCACTAATGCATTGTATAGCTAACAACGTAACATTGATTTTAGTTATCGCAAGGCATAGTTAGCTACCAAGGATGCTTACATGTATGATGATGACATGACCAAGTTTTAGTTATGCTTAACACCGAGGGGGTGTTACATGCAGAGACCTTAGCGATAGAGTTGGTTTCGTTTGTAAAGAACGGGTGAAGCAGAGAGAAAGGCAAAAGCACAGTGGAGCATTCCTATTGGGCCATTTGGGTCGACGTCATGGCTCACCACCACAAGCGTACGGGCAGACGGACGTTGTCACTAGAGCATTGGCGTTTTTTTTTAAAAAAAAAGAATGAACCATAGAAGGAACGATTTTGGGAGCAGCGAAAGAACAGGGCATTGTCGCTGCAATCTGACGACACGAACACGATTTTGGAAATTGGAATGCTGATGAAACTCTCTCCCAACAGCTCCCAACGGGTAAAAGTTTAAGAGAGCGTTTGGAACAAAGGATTTTTGAAGGAAAATCGTAGGAACTAAAACCAAAAGAAAGGGAGTTGACTGGAGTGTTTGGGACACACGAAGAATCGATTCCTTTCATTCATTTTACTGTAGTTGGATGCTCATTTCACAGGAAATAAAAAATCTATCGGGATCTCTTAGTTTCTTTTCCTTTGCGTATGTCCGATGCACTGCCCGTGAAGAAAACAGGAAAGAAGGGAGCGTACCGCAGTCTGTCAGGTTGTCAGTGACTCAAACATTTCAGCTAACGCAAGTGAAGCATGTTGCTATTTTTTTTTCTTTGTTACTTCCTGCGTTTTTCCTGTGTTATAGATTCCTGCGTTCCAAACACCCCTTCTAATTATTTCCTGTGTTTTTTCTTTCCTCGGTTTTACCACTACACACTCACCTCATTCCTACATTTTTTCCTATTCCCGTATTTTTTGATTCCTACGTTCCAAACAGGGCCTTAACACATCCAATTGCTACGCCACCCTCCAATGCTTTTTGCCTTTTTCCTGTTTCCAGTATATTTTTATATAAATAAACAAATAAAAGAGGAAACCATTGGATCGACCACATTCTTCGGCTGCAATTATTATAATATAAGCAAGAAAAAAAAAAAACACTCCTTGCGAGTCATTTGTCATGAGCCATGACCCATCATGCATGCATGACTCACGTGCACAGGAACAATCCCAATCACCATGGTTCGTTTTGGACATGTTCGTTTATGATTGTTGCACAGGACCTACCGCTGCTACTGCTCGATTTGTGTACCTGCAACCGTGGGCTGTGGCTGCATAGAGCAACCACAAACTTCACCTGTTCGATTGATCGTTTATGACAATGTTCGGCTAGGAAAGAAGTCGGTTTGTTCGGCTTATTTTTTTAGCTAGAGCAGTATTTTTCTCTCACAACATTTCAGTATAAACAGTGTTTTCCAGTATGAACAGTGTTTTTTTTAATCCCAGCCGAACACTGTCTATGTGGCTTATAAGTCAGTTGATGCTGTTTTATTGTAAGAGAAAAACACTATATTATAACTAATAAGCATATCTGATACGATGAAGCGCATGTGCTTATTTAAAAGCAGTCCGTAGAATTAAAATAGTGACAAGTTCGTAGAGTAGTCTATACATAAGGGCGTCTCCAACAAGGCTTCCAATAGCCAGCAAAAATTGTATTATATTCTAAACAGAGGAGAGAGAACGTTAAAAATGGACTCAAGCAGCTAGCTCGAAC